GTTATAGTTTTAACATTCTTTGAAGTCTGTTTTCATGTCTAAAATCATCTTTCTACATTTATTAACAAAGACATTCTTAATTTTCGCATTTAAAAGTGCAAAGCAATGTAACAGATAGTCAGCTCATCCTACTTCTGTACTTTTAGATTCGTTTTCTTATTCTTTTGATGTTATGTTTTCATTGTGTTGTGTATTAAATATTAATGTCCGATGGTTATGCTTAAAATGGTGATTTTTGTTCTATTGTAATTTAATTTGTTTTTGATTTGATTTAATGATTTAAAATTCACCTTATTTTGTATTTCTTGAAAATATTTTTTCAGATTTCTTGTAAAAGTGCAATTTGCTACAACATTTTTTTTAGAAACTTTACATAGCATTAAAGTTCAAAAACAATTCTGGTATATAGCGGGATAAGTGTGTGGTTTGTTTATGATTTTATTTTATATACGATATTGTATTTTTGTAATGCTTTATTCTATCTTAGTTTTTCGAATAGTTAGGATCAATTACTACTTAAAGAATTGGACGATTGTGGTCAGGGGCGTCCGTGGCCGAGTTGTTAAGGTCGTTGACTTCAAACCACTTGCCCCTAACCGCTGTGGGCTCGAATCCCGACAGGGACTTTGAATTATTTCATTTGAGGAAGCTATCCAGCTAGCTTACGGAACGTCGGTGGTTCTACTCAGGTGCTCGTTCGCGCCTGAAATAATGCATGGAAGGGCACCTGATGACCGATGTTCCGTCTTGATTAATTTTCTATGATTGACCCTTGTTGTCGCCCCATGCGCTGATACCAGCCGGTAAACTCGTATATATTCTATAATAATAACGTATGAGATAAGAACGGCAAGCTGACATTGACACGCCTGTAGTATATTTACCGGTATATTTACATAAAATGCAAATGACGGCACCTCAAAGTTTAATTACGCTCATGTAATATTGTTTTTATTAAATGGCTTTATTACACTCCTGCACTTCGGTTTATGTGACATATCGATTTATGACAACAGTGACGATAAAACATGTCCCGCTGTTGACAAAATAATAAAACATAACTTTTTCTAAAATGTTTGAAGGAAAAAGAATGGATAAAAACCCCATCGAATAAATATTCATTTTTTAGTAATTTCAAATGATGTTGAACGTTTGGAATAAAAAAAACTACATTAAATGACAATCTCATCTCATTATTAGTTTCCTTGCGAAAAATTAGATTAATTTCTAATTTTATATCCTTGAAATGCTCTTAGACTAACAGTATTAATCAAAAACTTTTTATTATTTTTTCGTTATAATTATGAACAATGTGAAGGTTATAATTATTGTATTTGTTCCAGCTTCTTTTCTTAATGTATACCTCAGGTGCACCTTTATGAATTATTGCCGACACAAGTGAATATCTGTCAAAAACCACAAACCTTTCTATAATTTGGTAACTTTCTAATACAGGCTATTTCCGTGGTGGACACATTGTTAATGAATACATTCATTTTTTATAAGTATGTGTTTGATAAGAAATGTATATGAATAAAGAATGACATATATTAATAAAAATGTTAATGCACAATAACAAAAACGGTTTCGAATTTACTCATACGATTCAATTTGCAAAATGAATAACATATTTTATGAAAAGTAAATGTTTAATTCAATGCGACTATTTGTTGTCAATGTTTTACACTAACTGTTATTCAATCTTTTACAGTGTTTTTATTTATAGACATCGATGCTCGTTTTTAAACATGATCGATACTAGAAATGTTTTAACAAGCTCGTGACTTTAACAAAAGACAACTTCGTTCAAAGCATGGAAAAGACAAGCAGCAAAAAAGGTATTCGTTGTTTTTTTCTATTGCGGTTCAAAAAAAAAAAAAACATCCCTGAAGCATGTCCTACACAAATTAAATCGGATAAAGGTCCGGGAAATCTTGCAGCCGAAGGTAAGCGCACTGCATCTGCATATGATCGTATGGCGTCAGTACCTTTCTTCTGTGAATATGTCGGCTAAAAACATATGGAGGTCCTATTTACTATTGACGCGTATTCTTCACAGTGACATCGAATGATAAACTAGGGAATCATCTGCCTTTAATCTTCATAATAATTGATCACCTTGAGGTAAGAATAAGACCACAATTTCTTCTTCTTTTTTTTGCACCGATACGGGAACCAAAGGTTAGATTGGCCTTGAATGTGAAAACAATAACTAGAAAACCGTTCGACGGCAGACCTTAAAACTTCTTGAAATACGAACCCTCGGGCCATTTTTGTTTCATGGCGCCAATGCGTTAATGTTGCAATAGTAGTTAAAATGAATATGAAAACAGTTTCCATTCAACATCTAAAGAAAGATTTGACTAATGGCCTTCAAAATTCATACCATGATCACCCTCAATGATAAGACTCCCACTATTTATGTTGGTCCATGCCTGAAGGTCAAAGTCACAGTGTATTTGTTTGTCAAAACTAATTATACTTAAGCGCCATTCGTTACACATTCTTAAAACTTCACTCTTATATTGTTTCTGTACACCAATGTGTGAAAGTCAAGGTCCCAGTGGCGATGAAACCGTTTATGCTCAATAACTAGAGAACCATTTGACCCACATATTTTATACAGTGATACCCCCCCCCCCCCAACCAAAAGAGTGATATGCCCTTGTTTGCGTGTGGTGTTTTATCACGGAAAACTAGAAAAAAAACTTTTCTGTTGTAGATGATACTGGATATGGATTCATTATTTGACAGATTCGACGGATTATAAGAGACGACTTAATTGTTTGAAGAACTGGAGTACTGAGTGAGGTGGTTTCCAACCACGACGTTGCTTTCTACTTTGGAAAACCCAATGAATGCACAAGTATTTTTTTGGCGCAATGTTACCTCATCTTTATTTGTTCCACGTTAAACCAAAAAAACAAGAAACTAAATCGACAGCTGGTTATTGATGATTTTCTGTAATCAATTTCTTTTTTGTTTTGTTCTGTGAATAACTGTGTGCCATTAATGAAATTCAATGTTTTGCTACTTTAATTTAATTTGATATGATGTGTGACATAAGCAATAGCCAACTTAACTGGCTTGTATTTTGACTGATTAAAATATCTTTTTGTTTCTCTGTCTAGCGTCGATGAAAATAACTGATTGGCTACATTCAATTTAAAGATAGCAGTTATAAAACATTTGTTTTAGCAGTTTTACTAATAGAAAGAACAATCCTCGTGACAACGAAACCATGTGTAACACTATTTATAATTATTGTCTTATACTACATGTATCTTACATCTGTCTTATTTTTACTTTTTCTTTTTAATTTTTTTTTTCGCAATTTCAATTACATTTCACTTCAACAAGGTAAAATAAGTTTGCCACCTGTCATTGTTAATTTTTCAAAAACTAAAAAGTGACTGCATCTAGAGTAACAATTTAAGCTCAATCTAAACTGAAAAAAATAATTTTATGTTAGAATTTTGCCGAAATATATGCAATTATTTTACACAAATATGAGGCTGGGATAAACATTTTTCGGAACCATGGCATTTTAATTATTTCGTAAATTTTAGTTATTACCAGCTTACTTAAGATTTTATTTCAGTACCGTAATTGAAGACTTTCGAATTGTTTACTGGCACATAAGGCTGTACCATCTATGCCCCGTAGAACAGATACTTACGCGGTTGAACAAGACAAAAAACATCAACAACATTACTGCACATTTTTAAATTCATTAGGAACAAAGTGATAATAATTCACATTAATCATCACAACAGCAGGTGACAAGGGTTGTGTATTAAGTACTGGGTCCCTTACTTCACTTCAGTGTTATGATATTTTTATTCCTTCAGAAACATTGATTGCAACACTTCTATGTGTTTAAAATTGAATACCGCTTAAGTCGGTGCAAGGGCGCCTCTGTATATTGCACTTTTTATTATCCGTCATATACAGACTCAAATACACAATCAAACAGATTATTTATTTATTTATTAAATTGTACATTTACATACTGCCCAAATATCAAGTCTGCTATTTTTTCACTGTAAGACGGAAAAATGAATAATTATTTAACAACTGTTACATTTTGAGCATCGTACTAGTACTACCATAAAACTCTGAGAACTGACCATCCTCCGCCTTTAAACGTTTAAAATTGTTTTTGCATTTTGCATTTTGTTGACGGAATAACGTGATCTTTCAGAAACCAATCCAATGATAACAGATTTGTCATGATATTGTCAAACGAGTAATTTCCGACACACATTATTTGAGAGAAACAATTATTTGAAAGCATTGTGAAATTGTTAAAAAAGCAATGTTTGTGCAAAAAGGTCACGCTGACAAAATGCACTTAAAGTGGCTATTCCACGGCAATTATAACATTATCATATGGTTTTCAACTCAAAGGAAAATATATGTGATAAAGATTTCTTTAGTAAGCACAATCTTTAACTTTACTTAATATAAACATGTATGTAGTGTGATAAAAGATCTTCTTTCAAATAAAATAAAGTCAAGTTAAAATTGGAAGATGAATAGAAACTTAAAAAACAACTTGTTACTAAAGTAAGTTAACCATTACATCATAAATTCACAAAAAGACAAATCTGTAACGAACAAATTTGAGTACGAAACTACTGAACAAATTAAGCGTTTTACTCCTAAAAGCCTATATTACAAAAGTTTAGTTTACAAACAGATTATTTACTGCAAAATAAGCAAACATAATATCAACTTACACAATATGGATAGGAATAAACAAGGAAATGACTTGGTTTAATAAAACAGCATGCGTTTCTGGCATATACAGTAAGCACAATATATAGAATCAATTTAGGCAAAAGATATTAAACCACCGAAAAGGTTACAAAAACACAGTTCACCCTGAACTCCACACTCCCCCCACTGTGATCCCATCACACACTTCACTTATATAGATGAATGTTGTTCATAACACTTAACGCATGACAATGGTGTCTTGATTATTTACACTGTGGTCATTCCACAAGAACAACCATCTCTGCCACTGGGCGTGTAAATTTAGTACATTTTCCGAATTTACATACTTGAATTTCAGCTTTTCTCACTAACTTATCACCGTCACTTTTAATAGCATTTGTCACAATTCCAACCGGCCATTCATTCTTTGGCACTTGTTTGTCTTTAAGGAGTACAACATCACCATTTTTAACACAAATTTGCTGCGTCTGCCATTTTCTCCTAGGTTGAAGCGTTTGTAGGAAACTGTCTCGCCACTGTTTCCAAAACATGTCTGAGAGCACTTGAACCATTTTCCACTGTTTCTTGTACAAATCACGAATATCCAAATCGAAACACATAGACAAATCACCATTGATTTTCTGGTTCAAAAGTGTAGCTGGAGATAGTATAACTGGACAATCTGCGTCACTAGAGATAGGGGCAATTGGTCTAGAGTTCATAACAGCAACAACCTCATCCATGAGAGTAACTAAAACTTCGTGTGATAGATTTTTAGCATAAACCCCTTGTAGTATGTCGTCTAGAATTCTGCGAGCGATACCAATCATCCTTTCCCACACACCTCCCATATGTGAGGAATGAGGTGCATTGAATTTCCATGTAACATGTGAATCACGTAAATAATCAGTCATTCTGTTATCTTCAACATTGATCACTTTGAATTTGAGCTCTTTCTGCAGAGCTTCCAACAAAATATATACTAGTCCTACTGTCGAGATATGCTTAAACTTGAAACTAACATTTCCACTGAGCGAAGTGAATCATCCTTTAACGCATTAAATGAACGGAAGAACTCGACATCCTCTTCAAAATAACTTCTATATGCAACGGGCACGGGTAGTCATCGCAGCGTAAACAGTAGGCCCAGCGCTTAGTTAGTAGCCGATAAAACCACCTCTCGCCACTCCGTTCTTGCGGTGGATGAGAACTATTACTGCCAAACGGTCCAACAACAAGTCAACTTCCGCACATATAGAAAATGGTGGCCCACTAGGAGGCTGTTGAGTCTAATCAGCTGGGATAACTCTGCATTATCTGATGTTTCTGTTTTAACTCTCAAGCTTTCGGACAAAGTTGACACACTTATGAATAAGTGAAGGATACAAGCCTCTTTGCTCCTATGATCCAATAACCATTGCTCCTAATAGCACCTTCTGTTAGATGTCTACCTTGATGTTTTATTTTTTCATGGAAATAACGTATGATCAATGTAGCAATATGACTTCTCCCGGACAACACAATTGGGTTGGTCAACTCAATTTGTAGACAACTTTGGCCCAGGCGTCCTCCTACGCGTATAAGTCCATCATTATCCAAGTATGGATTCAACGATACAATAGCACTGTTGCGATTGACATGATTGGTTTCAGCAAGGCTCTTCAATTCTTCCATATAATATCTTTCTTGATCTAGTTTCAGGATAAGTTTCTCTGATGAAGCCGTAAGGTATCTGTTATCTTTCTCTATCTCATCTTTACTGGACCTTTGTCTGATAGCTCTCTTCAAGACAACAATAGCTGTGACTAGCCTTTTCCAACATGAGAAACGGTCAAACTTGTGTGACAAACTCTTTATGACTAATGTTTTGTTCGTAGTTAATTCAGCACGAACATCTTTATCTTCATTGGGTGCTATCATTGAAAATTCTTCAATTTTTTCAACATTTCTTTTGTAAAGCATTTCAGGACCTTGTAGCCATGTTCTAAGTTGATCAGTAGACGAACAACCTCTACTTCCGATATCAGCTGGATTGGATTTTGTATTGATATAATTCCACTGCTTAGCTTCAGATAGTTGTAAAATCTTCTGAATGCGATTACTGACATAGTTATAGAAGCGACGAGTGGTGTTGCAAATGTACCCCAAAACGACTCTGCTATCGCTGTAAAACTTTATGGTGTTGAATTTAACCTTTAAAGCCTCCACAATTATGGCTCCAATCTCTGCCGCAAGAAGTGCAGCGCAAAGTTCCAATCGAGGGATAGTGTGTCCACTTGAAGGAGCTATCTTACTCTTTCCCATTACAAAACCAACAGACTTTACATTATCTTTGTCGCACACTCTAATGTATGCAACTGCACTTACAGCCTTCTCTGAAGCATCGGAAAAAATGTGTAGTTCCGGATTGTTACTTCTGCTCAGTGATTCAGCAACAAACATTCTTGGTATTATCAAATCATCCAGTGAGAGTAGAGATTCTTTCCAAACATTCCATTTCATCTCTAGGTCTGGCTCAAGTGGTTCATCCCAGTCTGCTCCAGCAGTGATTTCTCTCAAGAGCAACTTTCCGCGAATGGTGAGAGGCGATACGAAACCCAAAGGATCATAAACACTATTTAGAGTGGACAATAGACCACGACGAGTGTAAGGCTTCTGCTCGAAATAGCTGTTAAACTTGAAGTTATCAGTATTGAGATCCCAAGAAAGACCAAGGCTACGGTTTATGGGTAACATATCTTCATCAAAGTTGAGTGACCGCAAGTCATTTTGTAGGTCATCTTGCGGAAATGCTTTCATTACTGCTTTACTGTTTGATGCGATCTTGTGCAATCTAAGGTTTGCAGTTTGTAAACGCTTCTGGGTTCTCTTTACAAGATCAATGACATTTTCTGTTTCTGGCAATGAAATGAGGCCATCATCGACATAGAAGTTTTCTTCTACAAAGCTTTTAACATCATCTTCAGCATCTGTTACAGTTTTCCTCAGCCCATATGTAGCCACGGCAGGAGATGGACTATTCCCAAACACATGGGCACACATACGATATTCAATAAGGTCTTTGCTGGTATCATTGTCGCGATACCAAAAGAATCGCAGATAGTCCCTATGATCTAATTTGACATGAAATGAATAGAACATTTGCTCGATATCTGCAATAACTGCAATTTCATCTTTCCGGAATCTTAATAATATGTGGAGCAGACTGTTAATTGAATTAGGTCCTGACAATAACACACTGTTCAAAGATATGCCTTTGCAAACAGCTGACGAATCAAAAACTCCTCTTATTTTATCTGGCTTCTTCGGATGGTACACACCAAATATAGGAAGATACCATGTCTCTTTTCCTGTAGGAGGTGGTGCAATTTCAGCAGCCCCTGAATCAATGACCTTTTCCATAAAAGTCTTAAAATGATCTGCCTTTGTAGCGTTCTTCTGCAAACCTGCATCCAAGTCAATTTGCCGCCTTTAGAGCAAATATCGCCTGTTGAGCCATTGATGGTAAACTGCTGAGCTCTATTTGCGTTCTAAAGAAGTGTGCGGATCGCATCAACCCCCAAAAATCTGATTTTTCAATACAGTTCTTTGTCCATCGATGTACCGAAAGAAACTCCACGGTCTTCCTACTGATAAGCCCACGCTTATTGTCCTCAGCCGTGTAACGAACAAAAAGATCCAGTGATATTATCGTTTTTACTATTGTGCTTCATAGTAAATTTGTTTTCACATTCAACAAAATTAGACTGTCTTCCATCTTTGTGAATATGGGTCTTCTTCACGTTGACATTCTGGCTAGGGACATGCAGTTGTCCGATGCACGTCTCTCCAATCAGAACCCAACCAAGGCTAAGCTTTTGTGCGTATGGTCCTTGTGGTCCAATTATTTGTTCTTGTACGTGGTGAGCCTCCGCTATATCTCTTCCTATTAGCAACTGTATCTCAGCTTGATCATCAATTTCCGGAATGAACTCGAGATATCCCGCCTTACGATGTGCGTATTTTCCTTGCTACTATATATCTACCGATCGGGTGTAAGGGCCATTATTTTATGTATTTTGGGTAATTTACTGCAACATTCACGTAACTACAGGCTAGCTCATTGAGTTTCTTTCAATCTTGGACGCTTCATAATCGGAAATCCTTCGCCCTAGAACGTCCTGAGGTAGCAATGTTGCCGCTGCATGTGGACAAAGAATATTTAGTCTCTTTAAATGTGATAATGTGTTCAAAGTGTTCAAAGAATGATGACCTGGCGAGAGTTCGGTTACTTTGGTCATCAATCAATGCGTACATTGGAAATCTGTCATTTGGAACATCTTTGTGATAGACTACCACTTTAATTATTTTTGCACACGATTTGCTCATTGATGAATCTCCACAAAGTTGTAAACACTTGGCTGTAATGCCTTCCCTTTCACTTTGTGAGTCCCTTTGACTTTCTGCTGTTGACTGGTTTCTTGTTATATGAAGGGCGGTACTATGTTTACTGCTACCACACTCTTTGCATTTTACAGCGACATTGCACTCCCTGATGGTATGTTTATCAGAAAAGCACTTAAAACAAAGTTTTTTCTCTTTCAGTAACTGTCTCCGCATTTCTATTGTCATTTTACCAAATTCCCTACAAGAATCTAGGTTATGCTGAGCATATGTGTGGATTGGACATTTTTGTTCACCAAAAGACACATCTCCCTTTTTGGTTGTTATCTGGTTAGTCTTTGGCCTTGATACATGTACATGATCCTTTGTCGTTTTCCGTGATATCTCCAAATTGAAACTTGGGTCATTGTAGAAAGAGCTCATGTCTCTCAAAAATTTGACAAAATAGTCGAAAGGTGGGTATAGTACACGGTTAGCCATCTTGTACTTGCTACCCCTATCTGCCCATTTGTTCTGCATATGTACTGGCAATTTGTTCAGTATCACGTTAACACCAACCGGAGAATCAGAATACGCAAACATGTTGCTGTACAAAGGATTGTCTTTAACACTTTCAATCTCATTAACTAAATCGCACAGATCAAAAAGCTTTCTATAGTCTCTCACACTTAATCTTTGGAACTGGTCTAGTTTCTTTCTTAGGCTGTTTTCAACTATTTCCGGTGATCCGAATCTTTCCTCTAATCTTTCCAATATTCTACATCTAGCAGCCTCTGGATTATGAGCGTTTGACACACGAACATTCGTTGCTTGCCTAGATGAATCTGGTCCTAACCACTTCGATAGTAAGTCAACTTCCTCGCTTGCTGAGCATTCTAATTCAGTAGTTATATTTTTGAAGGTTTCTTTCCAACTATAGTATGTTACTGGGTCATCATTAAATTTGACAAATCTTGTCAATAGCAGGTCCTTTTTAACGAGAAACTGGTCTAACGTTTTATTTATGTCAAATTCTTTCTGTATGGATCTTGGTGAAAACCCAGGGGTTACTGGATTTAGAGCTGAAGCTTCTACATCAGACGGTGTTGATTTTCTCAGAGTTGCATAAGGATTATTAGTACTTGTTACGTAATTCTTATCTTCTTCATCTTGTTCTGATTGGTGCATAACATATCGCTTTGTTCTTTCGTATGTGTCATCAACATTCAGACCTGATAGACCATGAGATTTCCTTTCACTGCTACAACACTCGCTTACTGTCTCGTATACTTCGTTCTCTGCTTCAGCCTGTGCAAGTTCTTTCTCGTCATTTAACATGTCTAATTCAGCCTTTATCATTCTTTCCTCGTATTCTGCCTTCGCCATTTTTGTATTTCTTTCTTCTAAAATCATTGCCTGCTTCTTTTTTAATTCTAGTTCTTTTCTTGAAACGACCATTCGTGCCTTTGCCGCTTGTAACTTTGGCTTTTTGGGAGCCCAATCCGAGCTTGATTGTTGAAGTTTTTGGAGCTGGGCTCTCTTGACTTTTTAACCTTGGATTTGGAGTGAAAACACTTTCACTTATCGATCTAATTCATTTCTGTTTGTAAAGTTCAGGTCTTCAAAAGTTTAGCTGAAAACTTCATCTTTCACCAAATCAAGTGTATTAGACCTGAATTACCTTAAAGTCTCCCCTCATGCTGCTCTTCCAGTGCGCTGATCTGGTCTCAACAAAATCCTGCATAATCTCAACAACAGCTCTACAGACAATTTTCGCTAAATTTAACAGTCAAGTGTTAGATCTTAACCTTGGTGTAGATTTGTATAGTTATTATCTACATCAACGTCTAGTTCTTTCTGAACAGTAGTCCAGGCTGTTTTGATTTTGTCCATGTGCTTTTGAACCTGGTCTAAAAAATGTTCGCTTCCCCTTTCGGTAGGTCGCCGGATGCGTATCTCCTCTTCTTCAGACATTGTAACGTGTTGAATTGTGTTGAAAACCGTGTGGACTTTTTACTTTTCCGCCCTTAGCCGGTGGAAAGACAACGACAACGAAATTTGCTTAATCTCATTTATCGTAAAAACTGAAACATATAAAGAAAAACACATATTCAAATTTACAGAATAACAATACATACGTTTACATCAAAACAACATCATATTTGGATTATAACCTAATGTTGACCAAGTTGCTTTAATAACCAACAAAGGGAAGTAATCCAAAATCCTGCAGTTATAGATGCTTTAATAATTTGCAGTGAACATATTAAAGTAGTTAAAATGAAACAATGACAAATCCTAATAAATGATTTAAGATATAATACTGACTAGTAAAAACAAATCCTAATAAATGATTTAAGATATAATACTGACTAGTAAAAACGATATATGGTAGATTAACAATGACTAGTAGACAAAAAGATACATATATATAAATGTTTGATAAACCTACGTCGTGAACACTCGAGGGTGACGTTACAACATTTCTGCATTCATTATTCACTATTCATCACTGTAAAATACAATTTACCCTAATAAGTACAAGGAAAATATATGTGATAAAGATTTCTTTAGTAAGCACAATCTTTAACTTTACTTAATATAAACATGTATGTAGTGTGATAAAAGATCTTCTTTCAAATAAAACTAAAGTCAAGTTAAAATTGGAAGATGAATAGAAACTTAAAAAACAACTTGTTACTAAAGTAAGTTTACCATTACATCATAAATTCACAAAAAGACAAATCTGTAACGAACGAATTTGAGTACGAAACTACTGAACAAATTAAGCGTTTTACTCCTAAAAGCCTATATTACAAAAGTTTAGTTTACAAACAGATTATTTACTGCAAAATTGGCAAACATAATATCAACTTACACAATATGGATAGGAATAAACAAGGAAATGACTTGGTTTAATAAAATAGCATGCGTTTCTGGCATATACAGTAAGCACAATATATAGAATCAATTTAGGCAAAAGATATTAAACCACCGAAAAGGTTTTACAAAAACACAGTTCACCCTGAACTCCACAGAGAACGACACAATTTTTTGAAAAAAAAGGAGTTAAGTGAGGTGGTTTTATATCAAGGTGTTAGTTTATAACTTTGTAAACCCACACGAAAGCTCAAACAATATATATTCTGTTTTGGCGCCATAAACTGTATTGGGTGAAACCAAGCAAACAAGAAAAAAAAATCAGCAGCTGGTTATTGATGATTTTCTGTAATTGATTTCCTTTTGTTTTTGTTATGTGAATAACTGTGTGCCGTTAATGAAATCCAGTGTTTTGCTTATCTATATTAAATTTGATATGATGTGCTTTCCCTAAAAATTCGCCAAATGTTTTGACTTGTATTTTGACAGATTAAAAATATTTTTTGTTTCTTTGTCTAACGTTGATGAAAACAACCGATTGACTATTTGTTTATATTTTTTTAATAAACTAGTTTTAACACATTTGTTCTGACAGTATCAATTATTAACAGAACAATCATTTACAACGAAATCATGTGTAGCAATATTTATATGATCATATATAATCTTACATATATCTTCCAATTGTATGTTTTCCAAAGATTCAATTCAATTTGACTTCAACAAGGTAAAATAAGTTTGCCGTAGAACTTTCCTGAAATATATACAATTATTTTATAAATATATATAGCTGTGCAAAACATCTTTCAGAACCATGGCATTTTAATTATTCTCTAAATTTTAGTTATAACCACCATACTTAAGATTTTATTTCAGTACTGTTATTGAAGAATATCGAATAGTTTACTGGCACTTTAGGCTGTTCCGTCTATATCGCGTAGGTCGGAAACGGACGCAGTTAACAAGGATAGACTGCGCATTTAAACGATTCTTTGTTGCGTATTGTCTTTAAAGTATTTCTCCCCGATCAAAAAGCAAACTATAAAACAACAACAACGTAACTTCACTTTTCAACTAATTAGGAACAAGGTGATAATAAGTCACATTTAACATCAAAACAGCAGGTGTCAAGTGCTGTGTGGCAGCTGTATAAAGTACTT